ACATCAATCTACCCAGCATCCCTTAATTTGGTCTGTTTACTAAATATCTCAGACCTTATTTGTTCAACAACTTCACACAGGAATCATATCTATCTATCTATCTATCTATCTATCTATCTATCTATCTATCTATCTATCTATCTATCTATCTATCTATCTATCTATTTATCTATCTATCTATCTATTTATCTATCTATCTATCTATCTATCTGTCTGTCTGTCCGTCTGTCTATCTATCTATCTGACTGTCTGTCTGTTCCTCTCCCTCTTATATATATATATATATATATATATATATATATATAATGAATTGTTAACTTGAAATTGCTTTACAAGGCATGAACTGGGAGCTAAAACACTTTTCTCTTGCTTACAAAGCATGGCCTGTTTCCTGAGTTTTTTGCTTTCTTGTTTTTTTTTTGGGTTTGTTGAATCTAAAAATGTATTAAAACAATTATCTTAAACAAAAATGATCTCATGAAACATTGCAAAATGTTATACAGTTCAGTGATACACTTCTGAACTAAGTCAAACAAATGTATTTAAAAAACATGTTCCAACTCCAAATTTTCTGTTCAGCCCCCAAGAAGTTCTCTCTCGGCCATTCACCTTTTCTTTTTAGAGACATTCTGTTGGGATATTAGTGTAGAAGAAAGACAGTGTCTCTTCATTAAATAATCTAACATCATAAAAACATATCTCTTGCATGTTTTTAGACTCCTGTGGCGCGGTGGTTGAGTGGTAAAGCGCTTGGCTTCCGAACCTGAAGATCCTGGATTAGAATCCTGGTGATGACTGGGATATTTGATTTTTAAATATATATTTCAAGAAAGAGAATTAGAGAAGTCAACTGAATAGAGAGACTCTACTAAAAATAAGGAATTAAAAAGAAACGAAAAAAGAATTATTCTCAAACTTGATAGAAACTTTTTTGTCATTACAAGGAAGTAATTAGTCAACATGTATTGACATGGTACAATTAGCCACGGAAGTACTTGTAGGTTTTATATTTATAGTTCGACAAATGTGTATTCAATTCCTAAATGCTTATTGATCACATTTTTTTGGGGGATGTTTATTACGTTGGCATTAAAACAAACAGTTAAAGTTGGCAATTATGTCTTGTTTCTAAACCAGCCAATGATTGTTTTTTGTTTTGCCGTCTGCAGATCAAGACGAAACAACAGTTGTGGTGATACCCCGTGACTACTTCAAGGGAGGCGAGAAATTAAAACCGGAGACAACGCACATGTAATTTTATTTAGGCTTACTTTTTTTTTCCTTCAGCATTTTTAGTCAAATCAAATTGTATCTAATCACACTTCCTATTTATATATTTGAACACTCTTGTCTACAATTCAACCAAGTAGATTTATATGCTAGATGCAAATTACTCAGAGGCTGTAGCAGACATTTTCATGTTGTTGTTTTTTCTCATTTGGCGGCTAAAAGTGAATCTACGGGTTCGAGATTGTTCTCAGATTATATAGGTCTTCTCTCTGGCCTATGTAAAATGTTGACAGACTTACATTTTATGACTAGATGTTGATCATTTGTTATCTGCGATTCGTGCCATAGTTTGTGTTACGCCCAAACGTTGACCAATTGAGTAATGTCTTATATTTGGTTCATTATTTATATTTCTGCCATTTTCAAACACATTTTATTTAAACTTTATTTTTTTTTTTTTTTTAATTTTCGCTTCGCATTGTTTAAATGTAAAATTATTTTTTTTGTGTTAATGCCAGAAAGACTACTTAGAAATTGCAATTTTTGTGTGGATTCTTCGTGTTTTATAATCCTTTTGTTTTACCACTAAGTCATTTTATTTAGTATTAAGCTACTGCTTTAATTTATTCAAATGTATTCCCGTTGCCTTGTTAATGACTCAGCGAGTTAATTAGTTTTTTACGCTAATGAGCTAGTACTCCGATCGCAGCGAACACACTTGAACACAAGTAACACAGCGCATTAACACTTTGCACTTTACACAGCCAAAACCATGGCCTCGTAGCACCATTTAAAGTTCATTGCCTTCGCTGTAGGCATTTTCTTATGCCCATAACATACACGTTGACCACTGCAGGCACCATTAAAAAAAAACAATGCCTACATTTTGTCACTGTAGATTCAAGAATTGACTTTTTTTTCTTAGCGTATGCCTGGCACACATATACATACGCAATTGCACACACAATTACACACACAGGTTTCTGTTGAAAGTCTTTCTCCATCTGATCCAATTACGTTATAGTTGCTCACGCGGTAGAGCCGCTATCCCTGGGCTGAAGGGTCTTGGCTGTTCCTTTCTACACAACCGAAGGTTCCAGGGGAATAAGGAAGGGGGGTGGAGTTTTCAAACAGTCTGTTAGTTTTGTGGAAACTATTCTTATGTAGATCTTATCTAAAAAGGTCGTGGAAGTCGTGGAAGGGAACCTCAAAGACAATCACTAATTGTGAGAGCCACACAACACCCTCGTACACACTGATAGCCAGGTAAACGTGTAAACTCTTCTTCACGTTAAGGACTCCATAAATTCGTTCAGTTCATACATTTATTTTTCTCGATCTATTCATCCTTTGCTCATCCTCACTCGACCACCGAAATATTCAGACAGCTTTAACGTTGAACTTTTTTGATTTAATGTGAAACAATGTTCATTTCATTAGGTTGGGGGGGGGGGGGGCTGCCTAACTAGAGCATTTGTATTGATCCCCACGTGACGTGTTCATCTTTCTTAACGGAAGACTTGATAGCGTATGTACCAGCCTACAGCTTTGTCGTCGCTTAATGACAGGTGTCATTATAATTAGTCCCACCCCCCTCTACCTCCCCTCCATCTATCCCAAACCATTTCTAGAGTTGTCAACACTGTAACCTCCCCCCCCCCCCCCCGCTCCTTTCGCTCACTAACTAAGCCACCTCCTGCGCCATGACATTTCGATATGAACCTTATAGAGGTACATGGGTATAAAAATATAGATGTCTACTAGAGTGATGTAGGTCAGAGGTTTACAATATGTGGCTCATGTTCTACCAGTGAACCTTCGGGGAGAATCTGTGGTGGTCAACTACCAGCAATGTAGCTCGAAGATTCAAATTCAGACTCTCCTTCATGGCATCCCATGAATAAAATACAGTTCATTCCCGAAAATAACAGAGAACCACAAAAATATGGCTTTTTAAAAAATGTCCAATTAATAATTTCTAATATAAAATTTGCACATATGTCGCAAAAAATATGTCGCAAAAAATATGTCGCAAAAAATATGTCGCAAAAAATATGTCGCAAAGAAGTTTGTCAGCATCATGGCCGCTATTTGAAAATGTGAACAAAACGTTTGTAAATGTCGTCTCTTCATTTATGGTCTAGGTATTAGAGCCGCTAACTGAGCACTTCGCCTCAGGTTCAAATCCAGAGTTAAATCCAGAGATAGGGTTATGAAACGCGTTACTGATCGATTTTATAACAATCGAAGCATTTGTTATGACTAGAGAAGATAACCATGTGGTAGGAGCGATTTGACCCAGGTTTCAATGCTAATATTTTAGGTCAAATTTTTAATTTTCCTACAGAATAAAAGTGCCTTCCTGAAAGCTTTTTGTAAGTAGCTTACGGTTCTTAAGTTTTGCATGTGTTATTGGGATGGTCACTTTCAATAGTATCTGAAGTAATGGAATTTCAACTTAAAAAAAATTCCTACACATTTCTATTTTTTTTTTAAACAAATAACCAGTTTGTACTTCTGCCAAGAAAAAACTAAGAAACTAATTTCCATTTGAAAGAAAACACAGAAAACTCAATAATGTCACTTCCTTTAATCTTTTTCTTTTCAACTTTAAAGAAAATTAATTAAAAGTTACACTCTTCACTTTGAAGTACTATTTATTTATGGGAAATAGGTTTTCTTAACTCTTAAGATCGAATCATTGAACTCTCGCTTTGTCCTCGTCTTGAGTGACTTAAGTAGCTGCTTGAATAGAGAAACTATGTCACGAGCTAATGGCGATATCTGATCAATCAGCTTTAAGAGAATTCTGGTCAATGAGTCAAATGACATATCTATTCATTGAGCTCAATGTCCGGTCAATGAGCCATATCTGATCAATAATCTAAAAGCGACCTCTGGTCACTAAGTTCCAAGGGACTTCTGTTCAATTGTCTAAAAGTAATACTTTTTTAAATTGAGTATTTGACTCTTTTCTTACGAGTTCATTTTGTTTTGAATGTTAGGCCCGAGCTAGTAACCTATATGAAGCAAGGCCAGGCTCAAGAAAACGTATCACTGACACGTATCACGTGATTATTGTCTAAAAATAAACGTAAGAAAACGAGCCCCCACAAAGCTTTTTAATCTTTTTTTTTTTAATGATACGCCCCTGATTAGCAGCGCGAGCAATTAATACAAATCTTAGGCTACAATTACTTACCACTGTTACGGGCGCCGTCAAAGAGCAATTAAGGATAGTTATCAGGGACTGGACATTTGGAAAGCTATTTCTATCTGAGGAATAGGAGGTGTAGGGGCAGGATGCCATTACATACAAGGGGGGGGGGGGCGCTCTTCAGTTTCAGTAGGGCAGACCCTGCCCCTACTTTTCTTTGTACACTAAAAGTGCTGAGTCAGTCATGGCGTTTTTATTTGTTGTTTTATTGAACACAAGTGAAAGCATACTACGTTAAGCTAATTCTTACCACTCAAAGGGACATCGCCTTAAACGATAAGTCAAACATAACTTTGCTGGGATTCTCTAGACTAGCTTAATGAGCTTTATGACTTAAAAGAAAATAGAATAGGTTCATTTTTAACTCTGCGTTTTCAGGTCAGGATCTAAAAAGAAAGAAATAATTCAGGCTCTCGGTTTCCCAATCAGGACAGGAATAAACCAGTAAGTTTCTTTAGGCTCTCAGTTTCCAAGTTAGGTCATGAATATAACTTCCTTTAAGCTCTCAGTTTCCAAGTTAGGTCATGAATATAACTTCCTTTAAGCTCACAGTTTCCAAGTTAGGTCATGAGTATAACTTCCTTTAAGCTCTCAGTTTTCAAGTTACTTCATAAATATAACCTCCTTTAAGCTCTCAGTTCCCAAGTTACGTCATAAATATAACTTCCTTTCGACTCAGTATTTATTTATTCTCAATGGAGATTCTTTAATTTGTATTCAGCCTATTTGCTAAGCTTTGTACAAAACGTAGCAGCATAAAGCGCAAATGAAATAAATTAAAAGGGTGATACTATATATTTCTACCTACCCACTCTGTCTAAAAGAAATCACTAGTCATACATTTTCATTTTCGGTTAATTGTAAATGCCTCTCCAATAACAAGTGGATAACAATGGCTTTGTCTATTAGTGGATTCTCTCTCGTTATTTCTTTTCTGGCCCCACGAGTCTCGAAAGTATGAAACAAAGGGACAATTGTTTCGTTTTCTGCCTTAAAATTTTATTTTTAGTTTCCTGCCCATTTAGTCATGGGAATGCATGTGTTCCTTTCTAATTACGTCATCAAAAAAGTCGTAGATCGAAGTGTTAGAAACAATGAAGAGTAGAAAAAAAAAAAGAAGTTTGCGCCGCAGTCGGTCTGGGAACTTTTTGTTTCTCCACGTATTCTGGCTAGAAGAACAGGAGTGTGGGGGAGATAAGGTGTCTGGATTACACAATTGTGAAAAATTGCAGATGTGAACAAGCATGCCTACAGGTGTGAGACTGGGGACTTGTGTTCACCGCCTGCTGGACGTAATCTTTTTCTTTTAACACCGTGTGCTAAAATACAGAGAGAGAGAGAGAGAGAAAGAGAGAGAGAGAGAATGTAATAGAAAGTCCACCTCCGATGATAGACGTAGACGGCGAAAAGAGAGCCTAAAATCGAAATCGACCTCCGCCTAGCAACGGTTAGGTCTGCGCTGGATGCGGCACAATCTATAGGACACAGATGGGACTGCGTAGCCAACTAAAATACTTCACTCCTTGTTAATGTTCGGACTCGAAGTAAAGGCTTTTATTATTATATTATTATTATTATTTGTAAACTATCTATTAACTTTAATAGAGATGAGGTAATAGTTCCATCTGTTGAAGCAGAGTTCACGCACAGGCCGGCCAGCAGTTTACGAGGATACTGTGTGTTCTACACAACTTAGTGAGAATGTCGATCTCGAGTGAAAGCCATTGAGTTAGAAGTCTGTCAGAGGCGTGCTGGAATGACTAATCCACATCCTTGGTAGATCTAGAAGTTAGTAGCGAGTAAGTGATGATTTCAATCAGCTTGCGTCAGATCCGTGACTAACTCTAAACCCCATCGAGACAACCAGCAGTCTACCTCGCCACCCCAAGTCTATATGTTACTCAAGTGTCCGCCCCCACCCCCAACGTTCATATTGTTCTCATACTTAAGCAGTTCACCTAAGTGTGTGCGTGTGTGGATGCGTGTGGATTTGTGAGTTTATATGTGTGTGTGTGTTTGAGGGTTGGGAGGGGGGAGATGAACTGACACTTATTATTTTATTTGGAAAGACAAAATATAGATATTAAATTTGATTAGTTCTTTTTAAAGACACAATGGTCAATGCAATGATATTGACCTATATTTTAATATAGAGATATAGAGTGTGGTCCATAGTGTAGCCAATAGAATGCTTCAATAGTCACTAGACTGACATATAGGAAAGTATACAAACAAAAAAAAAAGCTTTGTCATGCAGCTATTGAATTTCTATAAATTTGGTTTCGTCACGACACAACAATGTTGTAGACAAATCAGACGAGAAGTTTTAGTCTCATTGTAATTAGGCTTACTAGCCCCCCCCCCCCCCCCCAATCTTTTTTTTTCCAGCCAGAGTGCAATATAGGGGTCATTAACAATCTATATTTCCGAAAATTGCCAAGTACCCTTCGGTCTCAGCGCGTAAAAAGCTAGCCTATTCGCAATGTGGCTAGACTTTAGCATTGAACATACTATGAACGTATTAAAAAACACACTAAAACATAGCCCCCCGCCCCCCACACTAACACATACATGGGTTACACACCAAGTCCAACTTACCGGAAGTTTATCTTATAATATCTGTAACTCAACCAATCTTGAATACAATTTGAAGCTCTAAGTTTAGTCTGGAGTATGCTACAACTCTCCTTGCATAATACTAGACAAACCACAAAGAAATGTTACAATTATTTTATTCGCTGTACAATGCATATTTTATTTATGAAGTGTTGGTTGTTTTTTTAGACCTTGTGGGTCATCCATTTAAGACGTCCTCACCTTCAGGTATGTGTGAGGGCGCACGTGATAAAAGCCGCAGAATTGAAAAAAAAAAGGATTTTTAAGCGTCAAATATGGATGACCCTTCTATTTGTTTTACTAAGTCGACAGTATTCTAAGTCATTTCCCTTGTTATTCCCTTGTTTCATGCTATTCATTAGTAATTAGTCAATGTAACGTAAATTGCGTCATCAGTTTATGTGTGTATATTGTCTGCTACACTTCATTTTGTTTTTGTTATACGTCAAATTACGTCATCGATTTGTAAGGCTACATTTCTATTATGTGTCTTTTGTTTCTCGTGCTTACAATACCATTCATTTTCGATTGGCTAGATAATCGCCATCTTGTTTAACATTATTACACTGTGTGTAGGAACTTGATGCGAAAATGTCTGAAATTTCAGTATTTGTAAATATGAGTTCAAAATTAAATTATTTTATAATTCAAAATAATAATTTATTTATAGACATTCAGATCCAAGAACTTAACTTTCAGTAATGTCTAAAATTGAATAAGAAAAAAAAATCATCTTCATGTGAATACGGTCTTTTCCTGACTGGCGTTAGAAGAGGATGCCTCGTAGTTACGTCATAGCAGGGGTATCACCACCACCATGTATATATAATTACAACATACTCTCTTTATGTTTTTGTATCATCTTTTTCTTTGTTGTCATTCACGGGACCATTTGTAATCTCTAACCGAATGAGTTCAAGAAGTCTTCCGAAGCATCTGTAATCTTCCAGATCCCGGGCAGATGAATGTAAAAAAAAATCTTTCTCACCTCTAAATGGATACTTTTTTGTATTGCTGATTTGTTTATTTATTTTGTATGCAGTATATTTGCATGGCTTCACCGTACTATATTTCACGAAATCCATATTGCTGGAAAATACAGTTTCAGGATTAATGCATATTCCTATGCAGACGCAAATTTTTTTTTTCAAAAAAAAATTTCCAATTTGTATTTTATTTTTGGTTTAGCTCATTTGAATATCTATTTCAGTACAGGTATAATGTATGGAACTTTATTGCAATACATTTTTTTTGTTATTTTGTAAATATCTAATTTAGAGCAGGTCTTGTATTGAAATGATTGCGTCAATCTTTTTTTTTTTTTTAGTTTTGTTTTATTTTTTAGAATCTGCATGTCGTTAGGGACATTAAATCTAGAACTCTACAGAATCTCTAGAAACTCTTATTTCAATTTAAAAAAAAGAATCAATGAATAAACGAACTAAAAACATCTCAAAGTTAAATTACACAATACTGCGTTCCTCTTTACCTGTCAGTATATATGTGTACATATATTGAAAAGTGTATGGTTAAAACTATTTTCCGGCAGATTTCTCCTAAAAGTCATGAAATAAGGATGTTATTAATATCACAATTAAATGGGTCTTTTGATCTTAATTGTTTTGTTCTCATGGTAATTTTTTTTTTCAATAAAAAAATATCTACATGAAATGCTTCTTTCAGTTGTTGTTGTTTTGTGTGTGCATATAATTTAAAACGATTTAAATGACAGTATATTATTGTACAATGCATACAAACAAGGCAAAAAATCTTTGACATGTTCAGATCGATTGTTCTTTTAGCTCATTTGTTTGGAGGTTAGCTAATACATGTTTTTAAAAATCTTTTTACAAAGCTTATATCGACTCTGTCTGTAAACAAAAAGTTTGTCCATGCTTTTTCTCCATTACCCAATCTCGGATCTAGCTGAATTTGTACACACTTATTTCTTTGATCTGACCTCTAGACATAGTGTATGTGTGACCGCAGCTGGACACACTTCATGTGGACAATGTTGGAACATATATAGAACTGACCAGCTCTGTTTATTGAATGAAAGATCGCTTACTAGGTCCAGATTACTACTCTATGATAGCCAGTCTATTACTTTCTTCTTATAATAGCTTATGTATATATATACACACAAATATGTGTAACGTAGTGGAACAGTCGTAATTCAATTTTGACGTAAGTTAATCAATACCTTAATGTGTACGTATATATAAGAATAAAGCTAAAAAGACTTCGACAGGAGCAGAGTGACAAGGCCCATATAATGCTGCACGTGAACAAAACAGAAAATGATCAATACAGATCAAAAGTTTTAAATCATGAGATGTACCCAGCTCAAAGTTACCTGGTTGTCCAACTAGACCGATCGATTGACGACTAGTCCCTCGACGACCTTTCTCATTTATCACACATATTAAGACGAAAGGTAGGTGGCAGGTGAGGTAAAGCTTGCTCTTCATAAATGAGCGAGCTTTGTATCATGTGACCAGTGCAAGCACAAGGATTGATCGTTACTCACCTGAATACACTGACACGTGTTGAAGCTATGTACATCAACCAATGCAGAGTTATGCTATAAGTTATGCAAACTATAGCTTAGGAATTCTCTCCCCCCCGCCCAAAAAATTAAATTGTCCGCATAATCACGATTTTAAGTTCAATATTCATCATTTTCACTATTTATATACTTCTTAATAGTATATTCTATGGTAGACTGTCTAAAAACGTCTGGAACAGACGAGGTATCACCACAAATATAAAGCTAGGGATCTATCGAGCTGTCATCCTCCCTACATTGCTCTATGCCTCAGAAACGTGGACAGTATACAGAAAACATGCAAAGAAACTGAACCACTTCCACATGACATGTCTAAGAAAAATACTGAATGTCAAATGGCAAGATAAAATACCAGATACTGAAGTCCTTCGAAGAGCGGGTCTGCAAAGCATCCACATAATCCTGATGCAGTCCCAGCTGCGATGGGCAGGACACGTCTGCAGAATGGAAGACCGCCGCATCCCTAAATGACTCTTGTATGGCCAACTAATCAAAGGAAAGCCCTCGCAAGGTTGTCAAAGAAAGCGCTTCAGGGACACCCTCAAAGCTTCTCTGAAGGCGTTCAGCAAAGACCCAGCCATCTGAGAGACAGAGGCACATGACAGAGCATCATGGCGTCGCGCTGTGAAAACTGGCGCACAGGCGGCTGAGGAAAAGAGAACAACGCTGGCAGAAGAAAAATGCCAGAGAAGAAAAGCAAGGCCAATGACACTGGAATAAACTGCCCAGTGTGCAGCCGAACATTCCGGAGCACATATGTCTCACCAGCCACATGAGGAGGCATAAAACCCCAGTGCAAAGCCCTCAGCCCTCCTGGATGACAAAGCGGTCATATTCGAACCAAGATGGACGAACTATACAATAGTATATCAATTTAAACCCCTATATATACTAAAATAATATTTCAGGCCGACATACAATATCAGAACTTAATAAATGGTCCCATGTATCAATTAGCTAAAAGCCTTATCAAGTCTTAATTCCATCCTGACATCATCTACTGCCACCAGGAAAATCTTTCAATATTTGACGTTCAACTTTGTAGACACGATTTTCTTTTGGCCTTTTTTCCATAATTAGATTATATCCTTTGATTTCTTTCCACCGGGCTCGAGATTCAGATGGCATTACAGGAAGTCACATTTCTCCCAGTGAGAGCATGTATAATCAAAAGCAGCCTTTACTGTAGTGTTTACATTTTTTTGAATACTAAATTGTACGAATCTTCTGCAGCAAAGCTTTGTTTAAGTAATGCACTAAACGAAAAAAAACAGAGCTAGACAGGCCTTAGATTAGAACCCTGCCAAGGGTACTAGACACAGAGGAAGACCAAAACCAACACTGGGAGGCAGTATGTTGCTAAATAAAGCTGAGAGGACGGTAAAGACTTAGGAAGACACCGTGGAGAGTTTGCGTGTATTTTTTTTTTTTTGTACGTATATGAGAACACAAAGGAGGCGCGGTGGCTGAGAGGGGAAGCGCTCGGCTTACTAACCGCTGGTCCCGGGTTCGAATCCTTGTGAATACTAATATATTTAATTTCGAGATCTTTAGGGCTCCTCTGAGTCCACCCAGCTGTAATGTAGTTTGGGTAAAAGTAAAGGCGGTTGGTCGTTGTGCTGGCCACATGACACCCACTTTAACAGTTGGTCACAGAAACAGATGACTTGACATCATCTGCCTTATAGACTGTATGGTCTGAAAGGGAAATTTTACTTTCATGAGGACACAAAGGATGGATCATGGATGACGAGGATGAAAAAAAGGTTAAAAAGTGGATAACATTTCAGATACCCCACTCCCAGTGGCGTAGCAAGGTATCCGTGGGCCCGGGTTCAAGAACATCTTGGCGGGCCCCGTTCCCCCAATAAGACGTATGTAGTTTGTGACAAAAGAATGGAGTGAATGTATTGGCACCAAGTTAGTTTATAAGTAGGCCCAATGATGTCATTACGTTTGATTGAGTTAGGACTCGAACAAGTAATAGTGTCTTTAAAGTCATGTTTGTACAAGTTCTGAACAGAATTAAACGACTTAAAGGTGTTTCAAATGAATAAAGAAATGTTTTAGGAGTTCTATTTACCATTCTGCACATTTTCATTTCGAATACACTTCTAGGTGTATAACTATTAATCATTAATACAAACATTTATCTGATTCTACGTCCATTATTTAACAGTAAATAGA